AGGCAGAGACATAGGCAGAGGGAGAAGCAGGCTCCCTGCAAGGAGCCTGATGTAGGACTCGATCCCAGGATCCCAGGATCATGCTCTGAGCCGAAGGCAGACGCTCAACTGCTTAACTACCCAGGCATCCCAATATTTTACATTTTAATCTCAGTTTTGTATTGTTTTTTTTTTTTTAAGATTTATTTATTCATGAGAGAGACACAGAGAGGCAGAGACATAGGTAGAGGGAGAAGCAGGTTCCCTGTGGGGAGCCCGATGTGGGACTCAATCCCATGACCCTGGGATCCTGACCTCAGTCAAAAGCAGACTGAGCCACTGAGGCGTCCCCGTATAGTATGGTTTCATTTTATTTGAAAGTATTAGACCAATGTTGAGATATTACAGAGCAAAGCTGTCATAATTATAACACCTTTATTTAACTTAATATGCAAGAAATTCTTCTTTTTTTATTTTTAAAGATTTTATTTATTTGAGAGGGCATGAGCATGAGAGAGAGGAGGGGCAGAGGGATAGGTGAAGCAAGGGGGTTTGATCCCAGGACCATGAGATCATGATCTGAGCTGAGGACAGATGCTTAGCGAATCGAGCCACCCAGGTACCCCTGCAGGAAAATCTTATGTATTAAACCTAACCACTTCCTTTGAGTAATTTGCATTCTCCTTTGGCCATATACCAAGAGCTAAGATTCATTCTCGGTAAGGGGTAAGAAACAAAGGATCTGAATGGGAAAATTGGAAAGCTTCCTGGTATTTTTTTTTCAAGATTTTATTTATTTATTCATGATAGACAGAGAGAGAGAGAGAGAGAGACAGAGAGAGACAGAGACACAGGCAGAGGGAGAAGCAGGCTTCATGCTGGGAGCCTGATGTGGGACTCTATCCCAGATCTCCAGGATCACACCTCTGGCCGAAGGTGGTGCTAAATCTCTGGGCCACTGGGGCTGCCTGCTTCCTGGTATTTTTTAAAAAGATTCCCCACATGGCCTTTCTCTGATGTCCCTATAATATCACACACACATAAAATTAAGAGTATGCAAACACATTCTAAAGACATTTTTATACATTTTTTTGACATCTATCTCTCTTTTTTTTTTAAGATTTTATTTATTCATGAGAGAGAGAGAGAGAGAGAGAGAGAGGGGCAGAGACACAGGCAGAGGGAGAAGCAGGCTCCATGCACCAGGAGCCCGACGTGGGATTCGATCCCGGGTCTCCAGGACCATGCCCTGGGCCAAAGGCAGGCTCTAAACTGCTGAGCCACCCAGGGATCCCCCAGACATCTATATCTCTTAAGGCATTTATCACATTCTATGTAGTGTTCTTATTGGATCTTTTTTTTTTGCATATGTGTTGCTAGGCTGAAGTTATTGGAAGGTAGAGAAGTCTCTTAGTTGTTTTAGTATTCTCAACAGCCTGGGATAGTGCCTAGAATTTGTAATAGGCACTTTTAATAGCAAGGGAGAGAATATTGCTATTCCATAATTTATTTATTTTTTTTTTTAGATTTTTAAAATTTATTCATGAGAGACACACACACAGAGAGGCAGAGACTCAGGCAGAGGGAGAAGCAGGCTCCGTGCAGGGAACCTGATGCGAGACTTGATCCCGGGACTTCAGGATCATGCCCTGGTGCTAAACTGCTGAGCTACCCAGGGATCCTGCTAATCCATAATTTAAATAGCACTTCTTCTATTGAAAAAGATTTGTTTTCTCAACAATATTAGGAAACCCTGTGTGGGTGTTTGGTTTAATTACATCAAGGGACTAGGGCTAGTTTGCATGTTTTAAATAAAAATTTTACCATACTGGGTATAGTAACTATGTATTTCAGTTTCTCAATTGTTAAATGAACTTAATAAGAGCACCTACTGGGACACCTGGGTGGCTCAGCGATTGAGTGTCTGCCTTCCAGCTCCGGGTGTGATCCTGGAGTCCCAGGATAGAGTCCCGCATCGGGCTCCCTGCATAGAGCCTGCTTCTCCCTCTGTCTATGTCTCTGCCCACCCCCCTTTCTCTCTGTCTCTGTCTCTCATGAATAAATAAATAAAATCTTAAAAAAAAAAAAAAGAGTACCTACCTACAGAGTTTTGGGGATTAAGTAATATAATCATCTCTGAGTATATAAATGATATCAAAATATTGAGTTTTTAGTAATAATACAATCAGACTTGGCAGGGGTGAAAGGCAGTAGCAGTCTTTTATTTTTATGTTGTGTGTCATAACCCATAAGATTTTGCATTCTCTGGGTTGCCATGTTAAAACTTTATAAAAGCTAGAAATTTTATGAGTTAACAATGGCAACTAGTTATTCATTCAAGAATTAATTTCTCCTTGAATTTTTTTTTTATGATTTTATTTATTTATTCATGAGAGACAGAGAGTCAGAGATACAGGCGGAGGGAGAAGCAGGCTCCTTGCAGGGAGGATGATGTGGGACTCCATCCTGGACCCCAGGATCATGCCCTGAGCCAAAGGCAGATGCTCAACCACTGAGCCACCCAGGCGTCCCTCTCCTTGAATTTGATCAAAAGATCAACCTAACTTCATCTTTTGCTGATTATTATTGTAACAGAATGGGCTGTTGGGATTTTAGCCAAGGCACTAAGGTGTGAAATTCAAAAGTGATGTATTTCATGTTCAAGAACCAGTTAAAGGCTCTAAAACCCATAAGAAGGACACTTATGGGTCAAGGAAGAACATTTTGTGAGGATTCTTTCAGAATTGTGCTATGGCCTCTTCTTACGACATGGGAGAAGTAGGAGTGCATACTTTCACACTTGATATCTAGTGAGAGGAACTTTAGAGGGACCATTCAGAGATTTAAAGAGTTCTCTTCGGTTAGGGGGCACAGAGGAGAGGGGTCTGAATCCCCTGAGAAATCCAACAAGGAGAGAAGTATAGCTGGCTAACCACTCCCGTAGGCAAAGCTATCCAAGAGTTGGTTGTGTTGGAATTTGTCTACACTCCCACATTTGTCAGGACAAAGCAATCTGAATGTTTCCTATACGTCAGAGTCAGGCCTAGTGGAGGAGAGGGGGGCAGTCTGGAGCTGTTTTGATTAAGGACAATGAAGCTCCAACAGTTGGTCTTTTTAAGTGACAGCAAGACCGCCAGGAGGAAAATGAATTATCATTGTCAGTGGAGCTACAGTCACAAGATCTCTGAGGTGAGACTGAAGAATCCACAAAAATGCATCTGAGAAAAAGAAGTCTGCTTCAGACACAATCAGACATCTTTTGGCGGGACCACTTAAGTTGGAATCTCTTGGCCTGCCTTGTCCCAGCTTCACTCTTTCCCATGCCTATTTTAGAGAGTATGGCAGCTGGGGAGTGGGGGAAGAGGTCGTAAAAAAGAGACAAAGCCGGGGTTGGGAAAAAAGATTTGATGACCATGTGAAGATTGGTCTGTTACTAAAAGTGACCATAGGCCTTCCTGCTTTTAGTGTTGGCTGGAAGAATTATATGGGCCTGCTGAAGTGGTCACCCAGCTGCAAGGGAACATTTTTCCCCTGCATGAATTTTACGAGGATAGTTGAGACAAAAATAAAGTTGTATTTGATTATATCCTGCAGTTAGTGCTTGTTCAATGGGCATAAGAATTTAAACTTTTTCATATTTGGTATAGCAGATCAAAATTTAAACAGTAATACATAAAGACTTGTTTTTTTAAGGCATAAAATCTTGTTTTATTCTTAAAAGTACTTTGACTTATGTGAACATTACATGCACTATATATAAATGTACGCTCTTGGATTTCTTAACGTGATATTCTATTTCATGTTGGTGTTTCACTTTGTTATAAAGTGCCTTTATCAAAAAATAGATATTATTCTTCTATTTTGGGGGATCCCTGGGTGACTCAGCGGTTTGGCGCCTGCCTTTGGCCCAGGGCACCATCCTGGAGTCCTGGGATCGAGTCCCATGTCCGGCTCCCGGCATGGGGCCTGCTTCTCCCTCTGCCTGTGTCTCGCCTCTCTCTCTCTCTCTCTGTCTATCATGAATAAATAAAAAATAAAGAAAAATCTATTTTGCCTAGATTATTTGTTTCATAAAGAAATATGACAGGTGACTAAACTTTTTTAATGAAAATAAATTATTATAAATCCGTGATGTTTTTTATATAAGATAGTAGACTAAAAAGTTACTTTTCCCTGCTTCTCCTTAGGTAGACCCATCCTGAACAGCTCTGCACATCTGGGACTGGAGTTGTATTACTAATCTGGCCAATCTCCTCTTTGTACTCTCCACTTCTTAATCCCCCACCACCAACACCTAAGTCAAGATTGCATTGTTTGAGATAATGGAAACAACCCAAATGTTTACCTGTAGGTGAATGGATAGAGAATGTGTGTGTGTGTGTGTGTGTGTGTGTGTGTGTGTGTGTGTCTGTCCAAACACACACACACACACACACACACACACAGATACAACATACACACATGCATTCCTAAATTATCTCATTTTTTAAATGACTTCCTTTCTGTAGACTAGAAGTTGCTTAAAACCATAGGTAACAGCTTAGCATTAATAGTGTTTGGGTCATAAGAGAACGATTTGATTAATAATACAAGCTTTTCAAGAATTCAGTTAAACACAAATAATTGGGGATGCCGGGGTGGCTCAGGGGTTGAGCATCTGCCTTTGGCTCCAGGCGTGATCCTGGAGTGCTGGGATTAAGTCCCCCATTGGGCTCCCCGCAGGGAGCCTGCTTCTGCCTCTGCCTAAGTCTCTGCCTCTCTCTCTCTGTGTCTCTCATGAATAAATAAAATCTTTAAAACACACACACACACAAATAATTGTTGTGCTAATTATAATTAGTATCAGCCAGTCCTTTGAGCTGTGATTCAGGTTTGTTTCTAATTTATTCCAACTTCCTCCCATCCCAAAAAGTAATAGCTTTTTTTGCACTGCTATTGTTCTAAATATGTATTATGTCCTATGGGATAAGTAGAAATGCAGTTTGCCATGTCATAATGTTCCTTTTGTGCCTCTTTTACAGCATGGGTAAGTTCTCTGTCCATGGGGATGATTTTCTTTTGCTGCCCAATAGCCAGTGTCTTCACAGACATGTTTGGATGTCGGAAGACAGCTGTTGTGGGTGCTGCTGTTGGATTCATTGGACTCATGTCCAGTTCTTTTGTAAGGTAAGGACTTGATTGTTCCTGCTGCTTTTCAAGAACTGTTAGATACTATAAAGTTGTGCTTTCAGAAACTTTACTGTTTACAAGGAAAAATCTTCCTTTCCATTGCAAAAGCTTTTAAGCAGTGTGACTTACTTACCACAGTGTTAGCCATAGTCCAAGCTTCATAATTTGAATGCTTTTACTTGTAGCTCTCTCATATTTTTTTATTAAATTTCATTTTTTGACCCACCGATCAAGAGCTACCAAGCTTTCAGAGGAGTGGGGGGAAATGTGGTGTAAGTTCCAGGTGTTGAACCCACCTTCCTGTGATCCCAGTCCTGGTTTCTTAGGAAAGCCTTCTCTGGCAACTCCAGGTCACATCAGTATTCCTTCTTGGAATTCTCTTTATACACATAATTGGTATTTACTGATTTGCACTGCACTTCTTCAGTTGTCACACTTCAACGGTTTTAACTAGCTGTTACTGCGGTGAAAATTTAGAAGTAAAAGAAGCTCAGTAGCAGTGAAATGCCATTGTTTGTGCTTATGTGCTTTACTCTGTAGGAGAAATATGAAGCTAACATCACCCAGCATTCATTCATTTAGACAATGGTCTGGAATCTCTCACTCTCTCTTTTTTTAAGATTTTATTTATTTATTCATGAAATACACACACACAAACAGAGGCAAAGACATAGGCAGAGGGAGAAAGCATATTTATTTATTTTTAAAATATTTTAAAAATACTTTTAAAATTTTTAAAAATATTTTATTTATTTATTCATAAGAGACAGAGAGAGAGAGGCAGAGACACAGGCACAGGGAGAAGCAGGCTCCATGCAGGGAGCCCAACATGGGACTCAATCCTGGGACTCCAGGATCAGACCCTGGGCTGAAGGCTGCGCTAAACCGCTGAGCCACCCGGGCTGCCCAGTACTATTTTTAATGTATGCTTTGAAAATGGCAGAGAAATGTATAATAGATCTAGATTTTTTCCCTTTAAAATTGTTAAATAAAAATAAATAACACCTTAAGAAGTAAGTTGCAGTTATCTGGAAAACTACTTATGTACAACAACTGAGGCTGAATGAATAAAGTATTATTTATATTTTGTTCTATATTATTTGAGGTAGATGTCTTGTTTCACTAAGCAGATTATGAGCAGGGCATTTTCACATTTTTAATATTTTTTCCCATCAAGTACCTGGAACATATAGCTGCTCAATATATGTTATGGAATAGAGTGGAGATTCAGTTAAGGGTGATCAGAGTGAGGTAAAATTAATTGGGAAAGCTTAGAAGTGACTCTTGAGCCTCATTTTGAGATTGTGCGAACTGTGGATTACTAGAGGGGGCAGGACATGTTAGAGAATTGCCAGCATGCCTTGATTTTATCAGATTCTAGAGTTCCTTATGATTACTTTAGCATATTGCTAAACTAGTATTATTGTTCAAAATTTAATTATTAACCAACTTTATCTGTGTTAGTTTCTAATAAATAATTTGCCTTTACCTACTGATCTATATAGCCTTTTGAATTGACTTTTCAAAAGAAAAAAACCAGTTTTATTCCTTACCTTGTTTCAAAGAACGTAATAATATGATCCTTTATATTTATAAAAGATGTGTAATTACATTATTTTTGGTTAAACTATAAAATTATTAATCCTTTATTATTCTTTAGGGGTATACATGGCCTTAAAACTTACAAGGTGGGATCACAAATAACACACTTCACTTAGTCTTTCTGCAATCAGAATATGATTTCTTGTTATCTCGTGCAACACTGAGAGCCACGCAATACAGGGCGAAGGTTGGTCTACAGCCCTTAGGCCAGCAAAAATGAGATACAACTGCTCTTTGCAAATGTTTCTGATATAACCTTGGGGAGAAAACATCAAATGCAGCTTTTCCTTTGAATAGGTTGCTTAGTAAGTGCCTAGGAAATCTCAATAAAATGAGTTTTCATAGTAAAATGATAATTTTTCAAAACTCTTATTGAGACCAGGCTTTTCGGTTGTTAGTGTAATCACTGTCAATTTTACTGAGGCCCTTCCTGGCACTGTGCTTTCTGAGTTGTGGAGAGCACAGCAGTTCTTCCCAAGTGCTGCTTGGTTCACCTGAAATGCATAGAAAGAGGAAGAGGAACAAGATCATAGTTGGCCTTAGTGGTCATTTTTCACATACTCAAGGCGTCTTGTTATCCATTCTGATTGAATTAAAATATTTTTAGTGTTGTATTCTTGATTTATGAAGTCTTTCACCTCTTTTTGGTGAGTCTTTGCATAGACGGCGTCAGTGAACTAAAATCCACTTTTACTATGAGGTTGCTATTCTGCTAAGCACTTGATAAAAATAATGAAAGCTACTTTCCATCTTTTTCATCTTTCCACAGCTCCATCGAGCCTCTGTACCTGACCTATGGCATCATATTTGCCTGTGGCTGCTCCTTTGCATACCAGCCTTCGCTGGTCATTTTGGGACATTATTTTAAGAAGCGCCTTGGACTGGTGAATGGCATTGTCACTGCCGGCAGCAGCATCTTCACAATTTTGCTGCCTTTCCTTTTAAGGTTCCTGACTGACAATGTGAGCTTCTTCTACACACTGAGGGTCCTCTGCATCTTCATGTTTGTTCTGTTTCTGGCTAGCTTTACTTACCGACCTCTTGCTCCAAATGCCAAAGATAAAGAGAGTGGAACAAAAGGAAGCAACAGATTCTCCCTCTTTTCCAGGAGGAAGTTTAGTCCTCCAAAAAAGTTTTTCAATTTTGCCATCTTCAAGGTGACAGCTTATGCAGTTTGGGCAGTTGGAATACCACTTGCACTTTTTGGATATTTTGTGCCTTATGTTCACTTGGTGAGTATGCTCCTTTGGCTTTGCTAGTAACAGATATTGTTATTTCATATAAGAAAAGTTCTTAGAAGAGCAAGATAGGTCACGTTGAAGTTGGCCTTAGACATCATCCTGGTTGTAATTCAGGGACTCTTGAAATTCAAGTTCCCTTAAACAAGGGCAACACAACCATCAGATCATTAAATAAGAGGGTATGTTTCATGGTGTGCTTTGGTATTTTAAAAATTGCCAAACCTAAATAGACAAACCCTTAAAAAAAAAAAAGGCTAGAATACTAGAACAAATATCATCAATACAAAAACTTAATAGCTCACGTATCTTTCAAATAGCTTACAAATCATAATCAGGGACAGAGACAGTGCAGTGATTTTTGTCAACATCAATAAACTCTTTTTTGACAAAAGGGTACAGAAATTAGGTAAATTGTAAAAGCCAGTGACCTTGACACAAAGAAGCATTACATATATTTGTGGGATACTTCGGGAAAATGGGAATCCTTTTCAGAGGATTGTTTAAGAAATGTTAGCAAGTTCTAAATGAGGGGAGAATAGGAATTTCACAGGAAATTAAGAATTCAAGTGCTCAAGCAATTTATATTGTTTACTTCTATCTCAAAGGCAAATTTAAGCCTCTTGATACTGAAACAAAAATTAGCAGTATCTGAATATTTGCCCCTGGCAGGATTTCTTCTAAAGTTCTTCCTTTTTTCTTACTGTTGGGGCTAAAAAATGTATTTACAGTTCAACATACTTGATAGATCATAAACAAAAATGATGCTAGGACATACTTTTGTATGTTTCTATGTGTATGACCTTGGATCTTTTCTAGCTTTTAGTCTACTTTTGGACATTCATACAATTTTTCTTTAAAGTTTTGGTGGAAGTTGGTAACAACTCAAGGAATTTGGGGCTCAAAGAATCAGCTAGTAAACTATGTGATCAACTTTTTGTGGGTTCCAATGCTTGATTTGGAAAGGAATTAAGTCAAGGAAACAGAAAGAAATGGTAAGCAGTCCTGGACCTAAGAATAATTTTGATTTCTCAATTCCTCTTATTCTCGTTTTGCTACAAGTGTTAATGAAGCAACTGAGATGACCAATGGGAGACAGGGAGAAGGACTAGTTTTTAGTACTCTTGAGTCAACTTGGTATTTTGCAGAGACCAAGCTACTAGGTAAAATAACCTAGTATGTGACCCCTGTCAGATATGTAGTGGCTACGTCTTGACCTGATAGTCCATTTTTACACTTTTAGGAAGGCGTGTCGAAACCATCTGAAGCTGTTTTTTGTTGGAATATAGATGCATTGTGGAAGGATCTACTTTACCAACTACCCCTTTCATTGCTTCTATGGTTAAAACATTTGTGGTGTCCTTCTCAAAGATGAGTAGACTTTTAAAAAATGTTTTCTTTGGTGCTACTAAGTGAGCACACACAGAGAAATCAGTATCTGTTTTGTTAATACCAGACATTTACCGAAGGATAAGTGGTGGGTGACTATCTAGTTATTTCTGGTAATATAATTTGTAAAATAATTTGACATATATTATTTCATCACACACACACACACACACACACACACACACACAAAACCTGTGAAGTAGGCATAATAAACAATATTAGCCCACATTGTATGTAGAGGCTGGAAAACAGATCCATCATTAGCAGAGATGTTAAGTGAAATGAGTATGCCTTAAGGAAATTTAATAACTATGTTACTGATCTTCTTAAATCAAATTTCATGATGAGTGATGAGTTAGACAGGATTATAAATATTAATGTCATCAGGAAGCTGTAAATCAGATAGCACACAGAACATTAAAGTCTGTTAATTCTGATAACAAACCACGTCTTTTTTTCTGCTTTCCCTCCTTCTAGGCATGTTTTCTTACAAAACGTATTAATATTTCTCATTTGTGATTTTTTTTTCCTTTGTCAAACTGTTACAGCACTAAAAGCCATATTGGAGAGGAAACACCACACAGTTAAATGCCTTGTGGGCTATTTAGGTCTCATGTTAGATGTGTGCACTGAGTTTGTCACCGTGTTGTAAATTAAGGTTTGGATTGTAGATACTTGCTTAACCCAGGCTTCCCCTTAGAGGAGGAAAAGATGCCTCACATCTTTCCAAACGTACATAGATGATATCCAACTCATGTTAAACCCTTTACTGGGTGTCGGAAGGATACATGTGTTACGTTTAAGAACCTGTCAAAGGAGCGTAAAATCTAGTAAATGTAAGAATAAAAGCTGTTATAGTTTATAACTTTTACATACATTATCTTATTTAATCTTCACAGCAATGGAGTACCTGTGATATAGCATCTTCATTTCACTGATGAAAAGACTGAGCAACTGAGAAATTTAAAAACTTGCCCAGGGTCACAGAAATAGTGACTGGTAATTATTGGTGTGGCACTTTTCTTCCAGAGACAGTGTTATTTATATATTGGGTGAAGGTAAAAGATCTGTGGTAAGACAGATCTGGGTTTTGTCCCCGACTAGCTGCGTGACCTTGAGTAACGTCCGTGAGAATCAGTTTCTTCATCTATCAAATAGAGATAAACCCAATTCTGTAGAGTTGTTTTAAGGATTAGAGGAAATGTATGTAAAGCATCTATCCAGTTCTGGTATAAAAAATGGGAGTTATTTTAATTTAAAGACCATGTGATTGCCGATTGAGTAGTTTTTAAGTGAGGGCTATAGAAGAGTCAAAGGAAAAAGATGATATCCATTTGGAAAAGTGGTTAGTAAAAGCTTTGCAGGATTGGAGTTGGGCCTTGAGCATGAGACTTGGTGTTAAATTCAGATTCTTAATCAACTTATATAGGTCTTCCTTGAAGATTCAGAAGTACAATGAATTAGTTAAGTTAAAAATTCTGAGATTTTAGAATTTAGAATATACATGATTTGAGAGAGAATATGTATGGTTTGTGTCAGTCTTGCTTTTGCAGTGGGTTGGAGGTTTTATCTTTTAGTAGTTGACTTTTAAGATGAAGAATCCTATTGCTTCCCCAAAGCTGTCAAGTGATCTCACTTTTAGGCCTGCCCACTTATAATCACCATTGTGAGGCTACAAATCTTATAGATCAATTTAGATGAGGCCTAACTTTAAGATTTTAAAAATTTGAGGGAGTGAGTGTGTGTGCCCGTGCGAACATGAGCAGTGGAGGGGTGGGCAGAGGGAGAGGGACAAGCTCCCCACTGAGCAGGAAGCTCGACTCAAGACTCAAGCCCAGGCCCCTGGGATCAGTCCCCCCTGGAGGGGGCCCAAGGGCAGGTGGGGGGGTAAAACAGTTTTTAATGGGTGTTTTAAACTAAAAAATAAACCCAATGGGCCTAATTTAGCCTTATTTAGTATAAAGATATTGTTATGAGGGTTTGTTTGTTTTTGTTATGGCCCTCGGTGTGCCTGGAGGGGGGGAGAGTTAGTTTTGATGTTTTTGGGGGTGTTTTTTTTTTGCTTTTTTTGTGGTGGCTGAGCCTTCCAAGAGCAAGATAAACCCACTCTCCGTAAAGTTTTTCTTTTTAAAAACCACTCTCCCTCACCCCTTAATATCTTTTGCCGGTTTTCTTTTTTCCCACCCCTGGGGGGACCCTTATTGTGGTCCTAGGGGCTTGTCCATGATAAATTCATTTGGAAGTTATTCCAATTGGTTAGTAGTTTGAAAGGTTGATTTCAAAACATTTATGATATAAAGACCAGTCACTCTAAATGTTGTTTCATGTAGATCTGCTTCTAATAAGTTTTATCATACTTTTTTTATTTTTTATTTTTAAAAAAAAGATTTTTATTTATTTTATTTATTAGGAGACACACAGAAGGCAAGAAACAGGCAGAGGGGAAAGAAGCAGGCTCCCCGGGAAGAGCCTGATGTGGGATTCAATCCCAGGACCCCAGGATCATGACCTGAACCAAAAGCATACGCTCAACCACTGAGCCCCTCAGGTGTTCCCCTCCACCAGACATTTAGAACTAACTGCCTAAAAAAAAAAAAAAAAAAAAAATTAACTGCCTACTTAATATCTCCACTTGCAGGACTGCTAGGTGTTTCTGGCTTAATACATCCAATCCTGAAATCCTGGTCTTATCCTTTCACAACCCTGCTTTGCCCCCAGCCCTTCCCATCTTAGAAGATGACAATTTCATCCCTGTAATTGATCAGGCCCAAACCTTGGAATCATCCTTGGCTCTTCTTTCTTCTATGCCACACTCCTGATCCAGTCTGGAAATTCTGGTGGTTCTTCTAGGATCTGACCACCTTTCATCATCCTCACTACCGTTCCATTGACCAGGCCACCATCGTCCCTAGCCTGAATCCCTGCCCTTGTCACGTAACTGGGCTCCCTGCTAAGTTCCCTGCCCACTGCAACCTGTTCTCTACACAGAAGCCACCAGTGTCCTTTCAACACATGAGTAAGTCTGCTCAAAATCCTTTACTGGCTCTCCATTTCTTTGAGAGTAAGAACTCCTGTCCTTATAGTGGACTACAAGGTACTCCCTTGATCTGGCCCCTCTTTTCTCTCTGATCTCACCTTATGGCTTTGCCTCCCTTGCTCACTCTGCTCCTGCCACACTGTTCTTTTTGTTTTTAAAAGATTTTATTTTGAAGTAATCTCTACACCCAATGTGGGGCTTGTACCCACAACCCCAAGATCAAGAGTTTCACACTCCTCTGACTGAGCCAGCCGGGTACCCCTCTATTCACCTTTTAATGAGGAATAGTTTGACCACCTGGTTCAAACTCCCTTTTCCCCCCCTCCCCCCTCCACAGCATTCCCAAAACCCCTCATGCTGCTCTTTTTCTTTTTCCATTGCACCTAATACCTTCTAACATATTACATAATTTATTATTATTATTATTTGCTGTCTATATGTATATCTCTGCTAGAATATAAGCCTCATGAGGCTAAGGATCTTTATGTTTTGTTCAGTGAGCGATCCCACAATGCCTAGTGCACGGTGGGTCCTCAAATATTTGTCTAATAACTAAACATATTATGGG